TGATCAGAGAGATCAGCAGGCTTCCAGCCGCTGATCTCTCCTCCGCTCAAATGACTGGGAAGTGATGTGCATTGCATCACTTCCGGTGTCACTGGGCACATTCTCTGGCTCCTAGAGCCAAAAGAAACTGGTGAAGCAAATTTCTGCTTCATCTGCTTCTTTGGGGTCCCTAGGTGACATTAGGGGTCTGAAGGACCTCTGATGTCTCCATAAAGAGGATCTGTCACATTATATTTGCTATTACATAGGGGGCTTGTTAGCCACGTGCAAAAACTAAAATTGTGCCACACGTTACATATTGTCGCTAGCGTGGTAGTGAGAGCAATAATTGTAGGCCCATCAATCGCTGTTAACACTAAACTGATGAGCAGTAAAAGCATTTAAAGCTTCCTCTATGGGAAATTTTGGTTATTGTAGTTTTTTGCGGTTTCATGGACGCACACAATTTTAAGGCTTGACATGTTTGGTATCTATTTACCCGGCATGACCCCGTCTTTTATATTTTACCAAAAAAATTGGGTATTATATTCTGTTTCTGTGCACTAAATTCCATTTAATTGGATTTTATCCTAAAAATACTTGTTTGATAAACATTTGCGCAAATACCGTGCAACATACAAAATTGCAACTAGCATCTTTTTAGTCTACAGGGCCTCTGCTTTCAGAAAATATATTCAGATTTGATCATGTGTGTGGAAATGTAAGAAATTGCTCCGGGCGGCAAGTGGTTAAAAGGATGTTGTTATCTTTTCTTATCCTGACAGGTATTGATGTTAATCCTTCCAAGACACAATGATGATTTCTTAACATTAGTCAACTGTTAAATTTATTTACCTAGGACACAAACAAAGACTTTGACCTCAGTTACGTGTGTTAGGGGGAATTTGAGATTGCATAACCTCAGTTTTTATACTGCTTATTATTAAAGTTTGTATATGTTTAAAAATGTTTAATATCTGTTTTTATACAATCTTCTTTTTTTACAAGAAATATTTAAAACATGACAGAAGATTCCCAGAGGATTATGGGGGAGCTAAAATAGTAGAGTAGCAATCATCACCTTTCAGGCAGGCTGTCTCTCATTGAAAATCCAGATAAAGTAGTCCAAAAAGGGATCAGTTACTGTGATGAATCACTGCTGTGAACTATTCACTTGTATGTGTGAAT